GTCTAAAAAAAATATGAAATTTCGAGCAGACTAAAGACACCCTACCTCGTTGAAATACTGGTTTAAAAAATGAAATGGCGTCCTAAGAATTTTAAATGGCTGAGAAATCCACTAGGGGGTATTCTAAGCTTCAGATTGGTTATTCATCTCATATATAGAAGTAAGTGTATATAAGGGAGCATTTCCGAAAATGGAAAGAGGTGGGTAGGGTGCCACTGTGTTTGATTTATTACATGAACAATATCTTAGCAAATTGAAAATATAAGAGGTTCATATTTTATATTCTAGCTTGTCAATATCGGTAAATTGAGTTTCTAATTCGTATGAAACTACAGACTTGGTATTTTGACTTCACAAACATCTAATTTGAACCAGTGCTGCATTCAACATACCACATGACACACAAATATTGATGTTTACCTGTTTTTTAATATTTACTTTTAAATTAACAAATTGAGTAATGTATAGTTCTAAAATTTGAATTATAATCTACAGTTTGATACTGAACTTATTGACATAAATTCATGAAATAGTAGTTCAATAAAACTTTGAATGTGAGGCAATGAATGAGATGACATGGCCTTTCACCTGTAACTCGTATTGAAAGGGTTAAGGTGATCATTCAGTGGTAGGAGAGGAAAATTTTTTTTTCATAATGTGCGAAACATTTCTGAGTTTAAAGTGATAGGTAATAAGAAGAGGAATTATATTTGAAACTTTAGTGTTACTCTGTTTTAGGATGTTTTCTCGCTGAGTGTTGTTAGCTTTTTCAATCTGTCTGTCAGTTTTAGTATTTTTATATCCTCTTTGTAACATGGTTAGTTTTAGATCCTTGGTGTGTTTTCTGTAATCTGTTTCATCTGAACAGATTTTATTTGTTCTAAGAGCTTGACTGTAAGGAATGTTTCATTTAGTGTGAGTGGGGTTACAGCTTTTATAGTGATGGTACTGTAGTCTGTCTGTAGGTTTTTTGTACAAGTCAGTGTGTAAAATTCCGTCTTTTAAAAAGACAGTGATGTCAAGAAAGTTAATTTGAGTAGGAGAGTAATTAAAGGTAAACTTGATTCTCTTATGAAAGATATTTACATATATGAGATAAAACCAGCTGTCCAAATATATATAAATATAATAGTACTGTCTGTCCATGTAACTACTTCGCAGGGTGTGGATGGATTTTCACCAAAATTGGTATGGAGGTTCATTAGGTCCATGCGGGGCTACATACAAATTTTCAATTTTGCCTTTATTTGTGGTTATTACCACTAATTCACCCCCTGTTGATGGATTTTCACCAAATTTGATATGGAGGTTCATTGGTTCCATGGGAAAATGTATACAAATGTTCAGTTTTGCATTTTTGATATTTTTTATAAGGGAAGCAACTTTTCTTGTCTTAAGATAATGTTTCATTAGTTATGAATTTACATAACTTACATCTAGGGGATGGGTACCCCAGCTAATGTCAAATATGTCATCTATGTAACGTTTCCATGTATGAGGTTTTACAGGGCTTAGTTGTAAAAGCTGGTTTTCAGTATGATTCATGAAAATATTTGCATAATTGGTAGCTGTTGCAGCACAGTTAACCTGAAAGTTTGTTATGGAATTTCAAGTTGCTCAGAGTTAAGACAAGGTTGGCAAGATCAGATACTGTTTGGGATTCTGATGATTTAGTCCTTTCTCATGCAGAATGTTAGTGTAAAGGGAAGAAACATCCATTGTGCAAAGAATACTTTTAGGCAGTAAGTGTCTGTTGGTATTGATTTCTTTTGTGATATTAAGAAAGTGAGTAGTATCCTTTATGTAAGAAGGAAGGGTAGAGGAAATACATTTTATGTGTTGGTCAACAAAGGCAGACAGCTTTTCAGTAGCCATGTTTGTGTTAGGAATTATGGGTAGACCAGGGTTATTGGTTTGTGTATTTTTGGTAAGAGATAAAATCTACCTGGACAAAACACTTCCTAGAAGTCCAGGTGACCTTCATGACATCACTTATCCAGTAACACCACCATTCTCAGTATACCCCTTCAGAAGAAAGGTCCACCTTTTGGAAGCACTCAGGTTGTATGGTTTTTATCATTTTATATTAAGACTTCTCGAACCTACTGTCTTCCCTGACATCATGACAGTTAAACTAAAGATATTTTCAAGCTAAAATGTAAACTTATAGCTTTTAAGCAATAATGAGATATATATATGCAATAAAGTAAAACCCACATGGCACTCCACTCTTAGCAAATTCTATCTTTTAAAAAATGTCTAATTATGTCTGACATTTGCTATTTTATTTACTTCTAACTTATAGAAGAATATTAAAATTTGAGTGTGATGCACCTAGAAGTCATTGAGATAGCTGGTTTTGAAAAATTTGCCTTCAGTTTGTTTGTTTGCTTGTGTTAGAACTCTCCATAACCAGCTATCAAAATGATTTAATGCATTTATAGCTTAGGTAGAAAGCCATTTAAAGTACAGTTGATTTGGGACATTTTATTTTGTGTGCATGGCAATATTTTGTCTTATAAATTACACATTTGAATTAAAAAAATAATTTATTACACGCCAAAGGCCTTGCAAAAAATTAGGCTTAATGTTACTTGGTTTAATAGAACTTGAGATTAGAAAGGCAAGATTTCAGGTGTAAGTACTAAGTAAAATGTAAAAATTTTAAAGTTACTTGGTTGGTTAAGAAAATCAAATCAAATTAAATAAACAAATTACTCATGACACTGATGTGAGAATGTGTAAGTCGATGCGCATGCTTTTACACAAAACTATCCTATATTATAAATAGTTTTCACTATACTCTAAGAGGATCTACATGCAACTGTAAAGATATAAAACTAAAAGAAAAAGCTGTTAGCTTTAGCTGTAAGAACAAAGAGTATTACAATCTGCAGTCATTCTATAAAGAAAAAAGGGTAATTTAGATTCCATGTTTTTTGTTATGTGTTGGTTACAAGGTCACTCTAGTCAGTCAAATTGACCAAGTCTGTGTACACTTAGTGTTATCTAGGGGAAAATGACAAATAAAATATCAAGTTTAATGAAAATATTTTGTAAAATAATATTAAAAATAAACAGGTGTGAAATTTTGAAGATAATTGAAGATTTGGAAATTAGATTTGGTGTTAGAGTAGATATAAATTTAACTGAAAAAACTTTTGATATTTATTTAGAAGGTTTTAGAGGTTATGCAAATGAAATATGAATACTGTAAGATACAAATATTTTAATTCTTAACAGGAAAATCACTTTTCACTCAGACTGACTTGGTAAAGGTTTTGTAAATTCACAGACAAATTTTTAGAAGAAATACTCTGTTAAAAGATCTGATTTTTGTAAAAAACAGATTTACAATGTTTGTTAATAGCTTGTAAAATTTTGTGAAGATACACTTAGTAAATTCAGAGTTACAATGTGTATAGTTTCACAGTTACAAAGTGGGTGAAATTGACCCACTTTCTATGGAAAGGGTTACAGAACTGATGTTTTGAAACTAGAGACTGATAAAGTACAAATATCTTTCATGTTGAATTATATTGTACCATGGTGTGAAATACTTCTCTGTTTTCATTTCAGGATGACCTATCGGTTTCTGGAGGTGATATCTACACTGAGGATCAGGTTCTCACGCCTGTTTCTCTGCTTCAAGAGTCGACTGTTAACGATCCAACTTCTGCAAGCACTGATTTTGTGTCCACATCCTCAGGGGTTGGAGAATTTCATGGGTCTACAGTGAATCTCCAAGATCTTGACTGAAATGTACCTGTGATATACTTGCCATTGATTGTGAAGTGGCAGTACTTTGGTGATAAATTATTTTAATTGTCTTGTAATTTGACATGTGCTTGGTATATATTTGTTTTTCCAGGAGCTAAGAAACTAAGGCTACAAAAAAAAACAATTTTATGAAAACAATTCGTAGAAAAGAAGGAAAAAACAAAACTAGTAATCTTTTGGAATAAGAAAAACCATTAGTTGTTTTCAACAAATTTCTCTTAATTTTTTTTAAAGAAAAATAATTAGGCTGGCACACTTCTTATTGCTGGAAATCTTGATGTAAATAAAATAAAGCAGACAAGCGAAGCACACCAAATGCTTAGAAAACAAATATTAATTGATTAGAAACCAATGATAAATTTTGTTTTATGAAGTAATATTTTGACATAAAGTATTACACCCATCTAATATAATCACTGAAAATCGTAGACTTGTTTTTATCACATACATAAGAGCTTTTATTATAACATTATGGTGCAGGAAAAGTCTTTTCAAGATTTCAGTGTCAGAAGAAACGTTTTTTTTTTTTCTTACAGCATGTTTATTATGCCATTGTTTTTAAGTGTTTGTTTAGAATAATGATTCAGGTGTTATTATTTTGTTCTATAGGAAGCAGTACTAGTTATTTAAAATATTAACTTTAATTTTGTCTTGGTGCATGGTTGTGCTGAATGTTTGAAATCAGGTTTTTGTTAAACAAACCAATTAGTTGATGATACTGAATGAAATTTTTTTAAATATTTGCTTAAATGAATTCTTAATGTGTCAACTATTATGCTTAATTCTTGGCAAATGGTGCTAATAACGTTTTGGTTAAAAATTAGAAAATAATACACACATGCTTTATATTTGGTGAAATGAATATGAAAGTAAACTTAGTTTTTATAAAGATTGCCTGTCAATTAGAAGTATGTTATACTGAACCCAGCATTATGTTTCAGATTAGTTGTAAAGCTTTCTTAATCTGAAGCAATCTTTTGGGATGTTTTTTCATTTGTCTGCTACTTATTGGTGATGCCAGGTATTATAACTTTTGTTCAGGATATTTAAATAAGGATTGTACCAATCAACAGAATTTGAGTATGGCTTTAGTGTGATGTAACAATAAGGGTTACACCTTCATCCAGCAATATTTGTAATATACTATCCTGTTTTGAAATTTAAAAAGAAACTTACATATTAAAAATAAATATACTAAATTGTGACAGAGCAGAGTTTTGTTTTGGACTTTTATATTTAATAAAATGTCTAGATGATTTTTATTAACTTTAGAAGAAGTTATTAAAAATATTTAAAAGTCTATAAATTGTAATGTGGGAAAATATCAAATGCATGCTTCTAATTTGTTTTTAATTATGCAGATAATTTTTATTGTTTATGTATTTTAAAAAAAAATTACAACCAGTTATGCTGGCTTTATTGTATTTGGTATTTTTCCATACAATTTTACTAATTCTTGCAGACTTTCATATGGATCCTGATTTTGATGGTTTGCAGCCACCTTAATTATATGAACATCTTCTAGTCTAATACTTCATTCTTGTAGCAATTTGAGATTAGGCTGGCACACTTCTTATTGCAGGAAGTCTTAATGCAAATTAAAATAGCTAGAGGAGTGAAGCACACCATATGCTTAAGAAAACAAATATTAATTGATTAGATACCAATGAGAAAATGTTTGTTTTATTTAGTAATATTTTGTCATGTCCCAAGCACAATCCTTGCTGCATTCCATAAACCATCTGTTGTATGGTGACAGTGGTTTCCTAGTGCCCATTTCAACTGTCTGATTGTTTTAGCACCCTTATTAGAAATATAATTGTGTAAGTAGAGTCAGTTCTTCAGGCATGAAGAGTACAGTTAACTTTGGTTCACAAGCATTGTATTATACTGTTCAGTGCTATAAGTGTAAACTTTTATTTTAAGGTTTCATAAAGAGGTTGAGTATGTTAGGTTAAAATTGTTTAGGAGCCTCACCATATCCATTCATGCTTTATCTGACAGCCTTGCATCTTGTCAATAACTAATGGAATAGGATCTTTCATAAGGCTGTCAAGTCCAAAGCACATCACTCCTTGCCATATTCCATAAACCATCTGGTGTATGAAGACAGTGGTTTCCCAATACCCATTTCAAGTCTAATTGTACAGAAATCCATGGACATGCATTTGGTAATTTGACCAGTATTGTCTTCTTATGGAATAACATGAATACCCATTTCATTCTTCAGCTACTTGAAGTATGCGATGGTTTAACGGATATGTTGTGGAAGTAACTTGTGTACACAAGACTTATGTTGCTTTTCTAGATAGAGATCCTTCTTAATTATGTTACCACTGAGCTTTTTACTTGTGGATTCTTACCTATTACAATTTACTTACCATAGCTGGACCATGACTTTTTGCAGGTCTCTTTCTAAATTGTTCAAAGCCCCAAGCTGATCCATATTCCTTTGTTTTTCAATGTCATTAAGTACAAGGGGTATCCCCATCATGGAAATTCTATATCTCTGATCAGTGTGTGTGAATATTTTGCATTGGAAAAAAGACTGTTACATACCCTTCCCAAAAGCAATCAATTTTTGATGGTATCACCCTACTTATGAAATGCCAAACAATGTCAAGTTGTAAATTAATACATGCCATTCCATTGTGACTTTACACTGGCTGTGGTTGTCATGCGACTTGCTTATTTTCACATTCAAATGGTTTTGATATAATGTACTCAACCTCTGTATCTATATCCAGGTCTGAATAAAAACCTTTGTTATAGGTCATTTATCAACAATGTTTGATTAAAATATGATATCCATGTATGAACAAAACATTTCATGTCTTATCACTTTTCAAGTTGTCGACTCTAGAATGATTAATTCAGTGTTATCAATTCTAACATCCTTTAAGATGTTTGTTCTTTGTAATTTTAGGAAATGAACATGTGGATTGAAATCTCTTAATTAATGTGTTTCTTTTTTTAAAAAAAATCCTTAATTTTTGAACCAAATACAGGCTTATTTAATGATCTAAACAAAAACACTGGCCTTGTTATGGTGGTATTGAGTTAAAATTTGCTGTAAAGAGAAATGTAATGTTTCATGTAAACATGATATGAAATGAGTCTCCTATGGTGGAGGCAGAAATGTGATGTTTCATGTAAACACAATATCAAATAAGTCACCCAATGCGAAGACAAAAATGTGGCTATTTGAACCAAATGTCATGAACCTGATGACCATAAACCTATATTAATTTCTCCTTTATGCACAATGAAACCGATGTACACCTTTATGTACTATTGTGAAAACCTGACTGTTTAAAAGTGAATGTCTGGTTCAACATTCATTCCAAGTGAGTTATGTGTCCAAACGTCCTTAGTTTACAGTTATAACACTTCAAGCACAAATTCAAGTATTCGTTATACATGGCACTTGTCAACCTTGATGAGTTTCCATGCCTGAGGGCATTCTGGATGCTGCAACTATTACTGATGACACTTATCTTTAACTGAACAATGATTGAATGTGAACACTTCATGTAGACATGGTATGTGATATTTTTATGGTTGAGTGGTTGGATAACACAAACACTAAATATGAATAGTGGATAATATTCTGATCTTAGAGACTTTCGACATTAAGCATGAATATTTATAAGTTCTAGTAATAATGCTTCCCATAGGGTAATTACTGTACACCATATGTCACTTCTAACTGGCATTCTCACCCTCAAGGTTATTACTGCTTGAAAATACAAAAGACAGAAGGGATAAAATACCCATGTAACTCGTGATATATTCTGTCAGTTTAAGAAATTGGTTTGTTGACGGTTCTTGGTAAGTTTGTTCTATCAAAACAAAATATATATATATTTTGTTTCTCATTAATAATAACTTTATCTTCACACTTTTTTAATGCTTCATATATTATAAGTAACAACACATCATATTTGATTCAACAGTAAGTGCAAGATTAATATTTGCACTGGTAATTCAGTTTCTGTTCAGTTAATAACCTGTAATTATATCGCAGACTGATGCATTTCTATTAGGTATTTGGAATAGATATTACTAATTCTCTGTCTACTGTGGAATATGTCAGACTACTGTTTCAACTGAGGGTGTTTTCAACCTGATTGACACGTTGTGTAACACATGGGATAAACAGCAACATTAGAGACTACAAGATTCAGGCACAGCCATCCCTAATATAGAACTGATGACCAGAGGCAGAGAAACCAGTTGGCAATATCCACCTCTTACATGGCTAATTTTTTAAATTGAATAGCAGGATTGATTGTAACAGTTATAATGCCCCATCACAGGTGAACGAGGGTGTTCAACAGAACATTGTGGCTAGAACCTACTGATCCACGACAGCCTGGCATACAATCATGAGGCCATACCTGGCCGAGAGAGACAAATAAACACAAATTTATGTTGGATATTCTAAGATTTTTTTTATTTGCAACAGGGCAAGTTTGGTCATCACAGGAATAAGTGTAAAAAATGAAGCTTGTGAACAAATCTTGTGGAAAATGTACATAGAAACTGATACTCCAGTAACAAATAAGTGCTTTGTAAATATTTTTAAAATTATTTTCCAACTTCCTGCTATCAGGCAACTAGAATTTGATTTTTAAACATTTATTAAACTTATTATGAATTTATATTTTATATCACATTCCAGTGCTTTTATTGACAACCACTAAACCCTAGTATATTATCCACTGATCTTTTCCTGAACCATGATACGTCTATAATTTATTTTGTATTCAAAGCAAGTACTACTATTTATTTTACTTTATTTTGAATAACTGCTTATCATATTTAATTTTCCATACAAGTTTCTAAAAAACTATTTAAAGCAGCTCTACTGTAATTTAAACTTGAAATAAAAAGTAGAAAACTAGAAATAATTCCTACTATCTGACTACCAAAACAGCAGACCAGATTTTAATAATACTATCACAGTTAATGCTCATCACTTGGCAAACAGAAGCATTGCAAAAAAGAAGGAAGATGGAGACATTTGCATTCATTGTTTTTCTTTTGTTAAAACATATTTACTGTAGCAATTTCCATTTACAAAGAACCTTCTTCTAAACTTCTCTGTGTTTTTGTAATATGTAAACCTTAATTTAAAGTGGGGAAATGGAATGATTTCATATGCTTAATATGCAAGAATACTGTAAGGGAAAAACACACTCCAAAAAAAGGACAAAATGCATATACAAAAGTAGATATTACTAGTAATCTGGCTGTTTGAAACAAATAATCTATGATGGTAAACTTTCAAATATCTACAGTAAAATTCTCGTAAGATACAGGTTTGACAATAAAAGCTTTTTAGTTTTAATACAAGTGTTAGACATAAAACAAGTTATCAAAAATGTTTTAAATTGTTCAGATCACACTCATTTCTAAGGAGACATTTTGTGTCACTTCTCTGTATATTTATCTACTGAAATTATCATTCTAACATTCCTGTAGAACATGTGTAGTTTTATTTAAAGAGGTTATTTCATTTCTTCATTTTCAACAAATGAAAATTTCCTCTCATCTTTAGAGTGATGACTAATAACTTCCAAAGTCTGTAGGTTCCTGACATACATTATAGAGCTACTTAGTCTGAACTTTGTAGTGTTTCAATAAATAAAGAGGGAAACTGCTCAATTATTGTTAGATGCAAGTTGGGTGTGACAGGTATTCCTTGCTTATTACAACTTATATGACACAATATTAAACCTGCTATTATCTAGGAAAATGAGTTTTTTAGTGGTAGAAAAAGTTCCACAGAAAAGCAGTGCAGTTAACGCAAGTTTTAAGACATAACCAGAATAAGTACCTAATCTTATATTAAACAAAAACATCACTGATATAGCTGAAACGTTTCTGAATAGGTCTTTCTGATGATATGTCTTTTTTTTTCAGACTTTAATATCCAGAGCTTTCTGAAAAATCTTCAATGCTAAATTCTTACTTTGGCACCACCCAATATTGAGCTTACATTATGCAGCAACAACATCAAGTTTCTTCAGAGTTAGATCGCTTCTCAGAGATTTCAACTTACTTTGGTATTTTCTATAACATGTTATGCCTATAAGAACTACTGTGTTTTTCTGTTGGCAACAAGTTTAGACTAAATTCTTATATGGTGGTTTTCATAAAAATACACAGTTTCTAATTCTTCTCAACCTATATCTAGCCTTCTCAAGGCTATAAAAGCTCCACATTAGTGTTTTACTAAATAGTTTTTGACAAGAAAACTTGTTACTGAAATCTAAATGGCTATCTATTTTAAACATTACATAGTTCCCTATGATTGGACCACATCCCTCTGTGTCAAGTATGTTTCTTTCAAAAGTCTAAGCTGATTGGTTAGATATTTTCAGTTAGCATATGTAACCTAAGTTTGTGACAGCTTTACTTCACAAATTTTTTTTTATGATTTTATTTTTGTGTGAAAAAGTAGCTTTAAAATTACAAACTCATCATATAACAATAATGTTTTTGACTATTAATTTCTGAATTCTTAACTAGATGACTTGAGTAACTGAAAAGTGGGAATTTATTTTCTGTAATCTAACTAGATAATTTGGGTACACTGAAAAGTGAGAATTTATTATCTGTAATCCAACCAGAAGAGTTGGGTAGACTGAAAAGTGGGAATTTATTTTCTGTAACCTGATTAGAGGACTTGGGTAAACTGAAAAAAGGGAATTTATTTTATGTAACCTAACTGGAGGAGTTGGATGGACTGAAAAGTGGGAATTTATTTTCTGTAATCTAAATAAATGACTTGGGCAGAATGTAAAGTAGGAATTTATTTTCTGCAATTTAACTAGAAGACTTGGTTAGATTAAAAAGTGGGAATTTATTTTCTGTAATTTAACTAGAAGACTTTGGTAACTGAAAAAGGGGAATTTATTTTCTGTAATCTAAATGACTTAGGTAGGCTGAAAGATGGGAATTTATTCTATGTAATCTAACTAGAAGACTTGGGTAACTGAAAAGTGGGAACTTATGTTTGTGATTTAACCAGATGAGCAGAATGAAGATGTGTTATTTTTTACTGTTAACTGAGGATCTGCACAAGTTAAACCAAGGAGTTGAATAAAACGTTTCAATATACTGCATAAGTATAACCAAGTATGAGGGAAAAAAAAAGAAACCAGTTTACCACATCTGTAAACTTAATAGTAAAATGTGACAATATCTTTACTTTCTGAAAAATTATAAATTCAGTTCTTTAGTATGTATACAGGGGCTAACTATGGAGATGAAGCCAGTCTAGCTACATCTTCGTTAGGTGGTTCTAATTCAGTCAGCTCTTTTTTCAGTACCTTAGCAAGAGGGCCAACTTCTGAAGATTCAGCAGCCCAGGACTCTACTTCCTGTACAGAAACAAAATTTTTAATTTCTCTCCAAAGGTTTCACTATAAGAAGATATACATGTGTAATAGTGACATATTGTAATATAATTGAAAAAGACAAGAATAACGTGTCTAGCTAATCTTGGTACTATTTACTTTTTATTGTGGAATTTAATCAAAAGCTTATCATATACATATATATATATATATCATATATTTATATTTGTATTGTCCATAGACATCCCTGGCAAATATTACAGTATCAAGGGCTGAGAAACTTTAGTCATTGGTAGAATGACACACATGTTAACCTCGTGAACTGAGGAGAAGATGGTTTATATTTGAAAAATTATTAATCCTTTCAAATAACACATAATTAAGTAAGATATAAAACTAAAACCTAAATACAATGCAACTGTCAATCTAATGTATTTCTAGGTGAGAAACAACGTTAAAGTGGCGAGGATGAAAGCAGCAACAATGCTAAGAGTGGTTTGACTAGTTCTCTATGGAATTTTAGAATAACTTAGGAGAATACATTTTAAAAAGTTCTCTTTCCACTGGTTATAAACATCTGGCTGAACTAAGTATAATTGGCTGAGAAATTGTAACTCTATGTTTAGAAAGTGAGCATAGCATCTGTCAAGAATTAAGAGAAATTTATTTCTCTTTTCTCTGAATGTACCCTAAAGAGCTTGAAAGAAGAATGTGTAAACAGAGCAATTAACTCTCTCAGCACGGGCTCAGTCCCAGGGACTGACCTCCAAACCTATTTTTTTGCTTGTTATAGTCATGCTATAACTTTTAAATTTGTAAGCATATTTTTACGAAATTTTGCAGATTATCAGTAAACAGTACAAGGCTTTTGTACGCAAAATATCAAATTTTTTTAATAAGTTTAAGATTTTTTTAAGTAATGTTTTTCTCATGCCCTTTTTCTTTTCGAATGTTGACTATCCAACATGCAATGTAATTTTTATTTTAAGATTAAAAATACTTTTGTGCATCAGAAAATTTTGAAATTTCACATGCAAAATCTTTATCATATCCAGATAATTATCAAATGTTTTTAAGAAAAAAATTTATATTTTATTTGTTATTTTCACTATTAGATACAGGTTTGGTCGACTTGATTGAAATTCGTAACCACCATAAAAAATTAGGAAATAAATATAAATTATGCTTTTTCATTCTAGAATAATTACAAATTATAACATGAAAACATGAATGTTTAGTCTAACTATATAGCTTAAATCTCATAAAATTAAACATTATATATATTTATGATTTTTATTATATTGACCTTTCAGCCATATCTGGCTAACATTACAAAGCTGGAATGACAGGGCACATGTACACTCATGTTACCGTATCCAAGAATATAAAACTGGCCTTTACAAAGTGACCTGTCTT